GCCTCGGCCTCCCAGAGAGCTAGGATTACAGGCGTGAGCCACCGCGCCCGGCCCAGACTAAAGATTTAAGACTATGAAATAAAAGGTAAATGTAGCCATACCAGTCTCCTCAAAGAGAAGGAGACAAATTCCAGAATGTTAAAGTCTTATTAAAGGAAAAGATTAAAGGTAAAAATCCAACGCTAGGGACTGACCCATTTGTCTAGCTGTGGCATAGGATGGGGCACACGATACATGCCAAATCACTGCCAACTCCCTTTGGTGTACAGGAAAAGAGACTAATGGTTAGGTTAATGGGCAAGGTATTCCTCTATATTTCTCTATTTCAATCCCTCTCCCAGGATCCATACCTTCCAAATCATCAATTGTCTTTTCCAGCTTGGCTACCGATCTCTCAGCAAACTCAGCACGGGTCTCTGCCTGGGGGAAATATGAAATCAGTCAGAATGAGAGATGAAGACAGAAGAGAAGTATCTCTATTTCTTCCACTTTCTACTTCCGGACCTTTCAGAACCAAAGCCAGCCAGTCTAAGTCCACATTAATGCCTTATAGACCTCCAAATGTTTTGGGTCCCTCCCTATGATCCCCTCAGCTCACCTCCTTGAGTTTATCAGTAAGAATCTTTATCTCTTCCTCATATTTGTCTTCTTTTTGAGAATACTGTAACAGAAGTAGAATAAAAATTTCAGAGTAGAAATTAGTCACACAGACAATACCCCCCCCACGTTTGCTCTTACACTGAATATGCTCTTAGATTTAATGTATTAAATGGTCCAGGAGTGAGAGTAAGGCCCTGCTCTGGACAACAGGTCCTTAAAATGCAGAAGTCTATGTCTTTAGAGTCTTGATACCCTCAGATTAGAATCCTCCATGACTTTTATTTTTAAAATGAACCTAAGCTCAGATCTCATTCCGATTAACCCGAGGAGGTGCTGTTCCGTTCTCCTGCTTGATAAGGAGCAGTGACACCCCACGGCCACATGACTGAAACACTCCCACATCAGGGCAGAGAAGTCATCTGTCTGGATTGCTCATTAGGTCTCAGAGTTGATTCTGTTACCCCCATCTGTGTGCCAGAAAATCTATTAGGGCCCCTGACTATTGCCTTTCAGCATAGCAGTATTAGCCGGATAAGCACATGACTCCATGCACCTGAGACCATGAAGTTATTTTTAACTAAAGCAATCAAAGTGCACAGGAATTAGCATTAAATCCAGAATCTGAATAGATAGTAGGTGGGTAGGAAGAGGACACATCTCATTGGAGTATATAAGGAATAGGTGTCTCCAGTCTTTCAACAAGGGCAGGGCTGGGCCCAGGCCCCAAAGCCTGTCACTTTCATAAACCAGCCCCTACCTTCTCCGCCTGAGCCTCAAGAGACTTGAGGTTGTTGGTGACATTCTTCAGCTCCTCCTCCAGCTCAGAACACTTACTGTGAATATTTTAAATACCGCAGGAGAGGAAAGGGGAAAAGGAAGAGAATAAAAAAAGGGAGAGAGACACATAGATGTGAATTGAACCTATATGTAGAGAGAGTTGGAAGGCATACTGGGGAAGAGAAGTTCCCAGGTAACCTGAGCAAGCATCGACCCTCCTCCCTCTACCATAGAACATGTCAAGAGCTAGAAACTCCTGAGCTCAGAATGTTTGAATACTAATAAAGAAAGAATACTTGAGAGCAATCACTACCAGGAACAAGTCATAAATGCTACCTGGGGTGGAGGTGGGAACGGATGCCCAACCCAAACAGTCCCCCAAATCACCCAAGGGAAGGAGAGACCCAGTAGAGAGGCAGTGAAGCAACTAGGAAAGAAGAGATGAAAGATGCTAAGTAAGTGGAAAAGAATGGAGCATTCCATGAAGAGATGAGAAAGCACTCAACAAATCAACCAGTGGAGGGGAGGAAGCTGCAAAACAAAAACAAAACAAAATAGAACTACACCATACACATAACCTTGCTGTGGGTTTAATGGTTAGTACCTTTTCTTCAGCAGCGCTCAGACACTTCAGGTTCTGGTCCATCAGTCTGATCTGCTCATCCATCTCTCGGCAACGGCTGTTAGTGATAGTCATGGGGGTGGCACAAGCCAGATTGTGGGGAGGGAGAAAGGGCAAAAAGGGACACAGCAAGAAAACAAGCAGCAAAACGAAAAAAAATGTATATTCAAAAAATGGGAAGAAAACACCACGATGGTCATGATATGTCATGTCAGGGAGAGGAGAATGCAAGGGAAACACAAACATATATGCATCAGCACTGACTTTGTTATACAAGGCCCAGAAGGTGCCACTGGGGGTCGGGGGTAGTTATTACCTGCCTTTGCCCTGAGGTTCACTAGCAAATTGGCAAAGTAGTAAAAACAGACACCAGACCTTAAGTCAATATAGCTACCTTGATGTCCCAAAAAGAAATACACCCCAGGTAGAAAGACCCAACAGGGTCTTCCAGTTAACTATTCACCATCTATTAGTCTTTATTATCCCTCAATTTGTAAATCCTACCAACAAGAAATAAGAAAGGTTCATTTGTCACCTGTCACTGGTCAAGTCAAGAGTAAGGAAGCCTAAAGCCATTCTTAGGTCCTAAAAAGCACTATAGATGATTCCCACTCCCTAGGCCCTGTTTAACAAGGTTGAAGGAATGCTAGTTTATTCATATTAGTGCCCAAGCCAAAGGAGAAGGGACAGAACGGTATGATAAGATTTGGGGAGCAAGATACTCACGACTCTGCCAGCTCAGCTCGTTCCTCTGTGCGTTCCAAGTCTCCTTCAATAATCACCAACTTACGGGCCACCTACAGGAAAAGATCCCAGTATAGCTCAGTGAAGCAAAGAAGGAGCCATTTCCCTCATGATTCTTTGCAGAAGCCTGATTATCACTGAAGAAAGAAGAACAAACAGAACGTGACTTACCTCTTCATACTTCCTATCTGCCTCTTCTGCAATATGTTTAGCTTCTTTGAGTTGGATTTCCTGGAGTTCCATCTTTTCTTCATCTTTTAAGGCCCGGTTTTCAATCACCTTCATACCTCTGCCAGAAATAGGACAAATGCGATACTGACACCCTGAGGAGTGTCACCAGCTCCATTCCAAGGGACTCAGAAATGCACCTTTTCTTTCTGTTTGCTGCTCAAATGGAAATCCCACAGCACTACTCCCATACCTTAGTTTAATTATTTCACTGAAAAATTTTTCTTATAAAATAATACATGCTTATTAAGAAATTAAATATTTAAATGTATAGTCTAAGCGTAAAAAAATAAGTCTCCTTTCCCAGCTCTAGTCTTGTTCACCAGCGGTAAGCTCTACTACACCATTCCGTAACGTGTTTTTCTCACTTTCTATGATTTGGACACTACTCTGTAATAGTACATGCATAGCTGCCTCATTCATTTTCACAGCTGCACAGTGTTAATGTACTCCTAGCAGGGCATTTTTAATTCTGAAAAGCCTTAGTTGTCAAGCACCTCTGTTCTAGCTTTAACTCACATGTGCCAAGGAGCCAATTGGCTATTTTCACACAGATGAACTATGATGTGGTTCATGGTTCTCAACCCAGGTCACACATTAAAATTAGCTGAAGAACTTTTAAATACATCAATGCCCAGGCCCCTCTTGCAATTGATTCTAATTGAACTACAGTGGGATCTAAGTATTCACATATTTTATTATTATTTTTTAAACCAACAAAGTTCAGTCTCCGTAGAGATCGTCAAAAATTGCCAATGCTGACTACATTTTAAACCATCATGGTGGGGTATTGGGAAAAGCTTTCAATCAGCAATATTCGTGCCTCAGATAAACCTCATTGGCTACGATACTGCCACTGCACAAAGCTCACATATTTTAAACTCCCCAGTGATGCCCCCTTACTCCCAACCATGATTCTAATAGTACAACCAGGGCTGAGAAGGTTTATTAAAATATAGATTGCTGGGCAGCCCCCTCCAGAGCTTCTGATTCAGTAGAATCAGGAGTAGGAACTGAGAATTTGAATTTCTACCAAGTTCCCAGGTGTTGCTAATGCTGGTCTGGGACCTGACTTTGAGAACCTCTGCTTTAGGAGGACTAATCTCATAAACAGAAGTTTATGATCCACAAAGTAGAAGCCATGCTGGTGGGCTCATTTTAAGGTTCATTAGGTCAGTTTATAGAGAAAGCCCAATTACAAAAGGGCCACAGCAGCTAGGTAACCCTTACTCTCTGTCTTCAAGGGGCAAGAATATGCGGAACTAAAGGAAAGAAGATCCTGTAAGATAGAGTTACTATTTTAAAAAGCAAGTCTATAAGGAAATCTTGATTGCTCCTTCTTTGGAAATCCATACTCTATCAGGCTCCCCTACACACCTCTCACTCTCATCAGCAGCTTTTTCCGCTTCCTCCAGCTTTTGCAGGGCAGTGGCCAGGCGCTCCTGAGCACGATCCAGCTCCTCTTCAACCAGCTGGATCCTACGGTTCAAGGAGGCCACCTCAGCCTCAGCCTGTGTTTGAATGAAAGAATGGAAAAGGGAAGCAGAGGCATGGTGAAAAGAACTAACTGGGGTTGACAGTAAGACCGGGGTTGACTACCGTGAAGAAGCCAGAGTCTAACAGGGTAAAACCTGTCTTAGCTCAGATGCTAAAAGACCAACAAACACAATTTTTAATATATATATACATTTCCTCCCTTTCCCATCAACAAACTCTCATATGTTCCACAGGAAGAGGGTTTTTAAAACTCAGTTCCTTGCCCAGCCCAGTGATAGTTAGTACCACTCCCTTTTCTGGACTCAGTTCAAATTCCTGAACACACTGGAGTCAGAAAAGGTAGCCAGTGAAGGGTTCCTCCTGCCTGAGCTCTGGCTTGGAGGTGTGTCTCACCCTCACTGACTTTCTTATAAGTGTCTCATAAAGTGAGAAAATAAATAAACAAGTTTTCTTAAAGAGGAAATCTTGGATTACCTATTAATTTGCTGTTTAACTCAAGTTGTTAACCCTCTAGTCACCTTACCCTAACAGATCAGGAGGATAACTAGCCTAGGGAATGTCTTCCAGAACAGACTTCCAGACTGGAAAGCAGAAGAATGGAACATTGGGATACCTACCCCTCATCCCTTCAACTTGCTCCCCCAAACCCTCTCCTCTCCCTGGCCTCCATCCCACAATGAAATACAGACTAGAATCCAAGTAAACCCATGCTGCCTTCCTGGCAATGGAATAAGAAACAAGGAAAGGAGGAGGCAGACTGGACATGGATAAATTCTAATGGTAGAAAAGCCTTCTTCCTATAACTGCCTTTCTCCCCACCCCCGCACCTTCACTAGAGACAGGCACGCTGACTGCCACAACCATACAAGAATTTAATCTGCCCCGCACACCACCCAGTTCAGATGCTTATCAAAGTACCTGGTAAACACGATCTCTCTTCTACAGCCCAGATTGTGCCTGAATTCTATTACCCTGCTTTCCTCCTGGCAGGCAGGGGTGGGGGCAGCTACAGAAATAATCTGGGCCACCAGCCCCTGTGAGGAGGAATATAGCCCCAGAGAGTCCTGTTAACAATCAGGACTAGCACAAAATTTCCATAAACATGGTAGGTTCAAGGGACTGGGAAGGGAGGGTAGAGATCTAACCACCAGACTACAGGAAAAAAAAAAATCGAGAAGTCAACATAAGCTGAAATTATTAAGAAGCTATTTGTGTCTCTACTATTCAAAACACCACAAAGACAAGTATTCTCTGGTTCTGTCTCTTCCAGGAAAGCAGATGTCCTGTAGGACAACACATTTCTCCTCATAAACCCAACAAAGCCAACCCATCAAGAGCAAGTTAGGCTATCAGGCAACTATGAAAGACTTGCTAGTACAATGATTTACCCCCCTTGCAGATTTGGAGGAAGCTCATGAAATATAAGTCCCCATCCGGCTCACCAGTAGTTACCCAAACTGGAGTAGAAGATAACAGGCTATGGGGGCGGGGTGTACGGTTTCCATGACAACAAGCTGGCTCAGGCAGTTTCTCCCACAAATCAGCATTTACAATAGAATTCTCCGCAAGGCTGAAAAGGGAGGAGGAGAAAACACATCTTGGTGCCCTCACAAGAGCATGCGCACATCAACAAGCCTGTATCAAAAGCAGAACCCAAGATGGGAGTCCTAGCAAAAGCTTCAGAGACCCTGAGGGTGGGGGTGACCAGGACTTCACTGTTCTCTTTTTTTCTCCTCCTAGAGGATTAGTTCTCTTTATAATGAAACAAAAGCCCACAGAATTAAGATCTATTACTCTTATCGGTGGCCCTAGGAAACATTAAGTTTTGTCCTTTCCTAATCAACCTAGGTTTTAGCATGCCTGCCCAGAGGTGGTTTCAGTCTTTCAGTCTGTCCATCTCTGCCCAGCTTGGAGGATATACACTACTCTGAGGTCCTTCCCTTCAGGTAATAATAGGATTCTCCACTGCCCAGGAAGCAAAGATCCCAGGGGTGGGAGTGGAACACAGCAGCAATTTGGTTACATTAGAAGATGGCTGACAACGGCTTCAGCTATGAAATGAATTTGATTTAAATGCTACCATTCTACACTCCAAGGAGATTCCCTAAGTATGCCACACCCCTCAAGGCATGAAACTGACAGGGCACTGGTGCGCAGAGGCAGAACAGGGCCAAGGACAGAAGGGGATTAGTCTAAATCTGGCATTCTGCCACGCTGGGGTTTCTCTTTTTAGATAAAAGCCACAGATGAAATTCAAATGAAAAACAGTACTAGAAAAGTTAGGCTTGAGCCCTGTGAGTAAAGGACTGCTGGAGTTCACTGCAACCACAAATGCATCTATCCAGGGAGACACTGTGTCCTTGGGGACTTTAAATTTCATTGTGGTGGGGGGAGGCGGCAAGTTAGAAGGGAGTAGAGCTATCTGCCCCAGAGTAAACAAAGGTGGAGCCTAATTGGAGGCACTCAGAGCAAAGGGCTATTTGCCTCTCCCTGTGTGTGTTCTAGCATGGAGGGAAGAGAAGGCAACAGCAGGAAAGCAAATCCCAACCAAAGGTGATCAAGCCTGTTGCTTATCCACCAGACCCCACCATAGTCAAAGGAAGAACTGCACAATACTCAAACATTCTAACCTCCTTCAGAGACTAGAAATTTCAGATTAAGGCCAGAATCAAAACTGTCATTCAAAGCCCACTCACTCCCTCAATAGTACTCTTAAATTTTTTAGACCAGAAAAAAATAAAAAAGAAAAGTATCAGGGGAAGTTAGGAGAGAGGTATTAAAAATAGATACGGTAAACTGTACATTTAACAATAGTTACAATAGTAAATTTTATGTTATGTACACTTTTACCACCACTACCATAAAATAGATTGGAAAAAAAGACTGCATATAAATACTATGTTGCCATCTGTTTACATTTAAACAGAAGTACAAAGGAAATGCAAAACTGAAAGTGGATTTGACAAGGTATTATATTATAAAAGGTCAATATCCAGCCCAAGAGCAAAAAAGGACAGATCCTAGAACTCTAGCGTCTCGGTTTTGGACTCATCCAGCCTCCCAACAAGGCTGGCCTGGATATTCACACAAAGCAACCAGAAAAATAACGAAACGACAATCCCACTAACAGTATGTGATACCATCAGAGCACTACATTTGCAGTTCCAGAGGGAGGAGCCTACAAACCCGACATTCCAGAATGCCCTAAGAGGATAACAGGTAGCCCAATCACCCCCCTCCCTTCCCATGGGTGTCTCCTTCTCAGTAGGGGTTCAAAGTTCACTAGAGCAGAAAGTCAAAAGATTAGGCTCCCACAAGCTGGAAAGTAGAAGATAGTGGTTTCATCAGTATTTAACTATCACCTTACTTCCCCATTCTGAGGACTTCCTCACTAGATCTCAGCGCAATAAGCAAATCTGGCAGGCACTGAGTGAGGGAGTAGTTTAAGAAACATCTGATGCTGCTCACTCTGCTGCTTATCACCTCAAAGTCACCAAGGATGGAAAAAAGGAAGCCACGTTTTCCTACAAGGAAATTTACCAAATCCTGGGGGGAAAATCATCACCCACCCTAGAATACTCCTAGGATGTCCATATTTAAATGCTGAGCCTAAGACTCTGCAGTTCAACACAATGCCAATTCCTTTGGCCATCCTGTCTTTCTCTTTAAGGTTAACTGTTCTCCAGAACAAAAGAGATGAGAAAGTGTCACTAGTCATAAAGAGTCACCCAGCCAGTCCATCTCACTTGAGTTGATAATTAGAAGTTGCTGGCATACTCAACAGAGGAAAAATCCACCTAAAAAAAAGGTGACCAAGGAAGACAAGCAGCTCCCAGCATCTCCATGCCCAGTTATAAAAATAAGTGAGTATTCTAACAATCTTTAAATATTAACCTGGAGACCTGGAGGGCAACTGTTCCCCCGCATTCCCACCCTTTTCCGAATTCCAGTCCTCTCCCTCCCAAAAATATTAATTCTCAGTTACTCCCCAGAGGAACAGCCAAAAAACCCCCACAAAAACCAAGAAAACCTTACAAGGGAAAGAACAACAAAGAACACCAATAAACTACAAGAGTTCTTTCACTGAGTATTCAGATTTTAACAACACTTACTTTACTTTCTTGTCTCAAAATCTTCCAAAACCAAAGCCTCAACTCAGGAGGGATCAGTTCCACCCACTAGACTACACTCTAGTCTAGGCCCTGGAAAGTCTTATGCCTCACTAAAACAAGTCAATCACTTCTAAACAGAAAGTGATTTCAAGAAATCACTAGAATCACCATTCGTTCCTCCAACATCTTATGTTCCAACTTTCAGTTGGAAAAAATTATGTATTGAACTTTAAAAAAAAAAAAAGACACCGGGATAATTGGGAAAGGAGCAGAGGAACATCACTAGAGCCACCTAGAACTCATTATTCTGTCCCCATCCACTATATTGCCCGGGTCAATCAGAAACCCTGAGATTGGAACGCCATCTGATTCTCTGCCACGCACTCGCTTATCAGCCCTGCTTGGAAGAAATGTTTTTTCTTAACCAGTTCAGCTTGCACTGATCACACTTCGGCAATAAAGGCCTGAATCTGGCAGAAGTTCCTGCCTTCCAGGTCATCATGGGGAGGGCCAGGCAAGTTTAGTTGGCTCCTACACTTGCACTAACATAGGAGAGAAGTACCATCTCCTCCCCTCTCGCTTCACGTCGATTCAGAGAGTGGGTGTAGCAGTTGCAAGAGCACCCCGTAAGAGGAAAGGGCCCCAGGCAGGAGCACAGGAGGCAGTCCTGTGGTCTCAAGCTCATCTAGGGAGGGAGGGCACCGCGCTTCCTCTCAGCCGACTGCTGCCTCATTTCCTGAGCAGGCGGAGGGAGCGGAAAAGCTGCCAGCAGGCCAGGCCGGGGGCTTTCCGGCGGTTCCCACCCCCAACTCTCACCCTTTCACAGAAGGTTCGGCCCTGCCCCTCACAAACGAGAAAAGTACCCACCCACTCTCACCTCTTGGGCCGGAAACCCCAAGCGAGAGCAAAGTTCTCCCACCCTTCATGGGGAAGTGGGGGAGGGAGAAGCCGCTGAGCCCCTCCCCCAGCCGCGCCCGGATCCAAGGGACTGAATGAATGACCTGGGAAAAAAGAGGAAAGCCACTCCCCAGGCTCACGTAAGGCTCAATTCCTTCAAAGGTCAAGTCTGTTCGCCCGAGCACTCAGTTCCCTCGTCGCCTGCTTGCAGTCCTACCGGGGCTGAGCCCCACCCATCCTGTGGGCTCCAACTTCATCTCCGAGCCTGCTGGCCCCCAAAAGACAGTGCTCGACAGCAAAAGGGATCCTATTTGGGGTCCCGGCTGCACCAGCGCCTGCCCCTCCCTCATGCGCCTCGCCCTCTCCGTACCTGTTCCCGGGCCCGCCTTTCTCCCTCCACTTCCCGCTGGAGGCGCTCGGCTCTCTCCTCTGCATCATCAGCCTGCTGTTGCAGAACCTGGATCTTGCGCTTCACCGCCTCGATGGTGGTGATCCCAGCCATGGTGCCTACCCTGCTCCTGCTCGCGCTCCCGTTCCTCCCTCCTCCGCTCGGCGTTGCAGCCGCTCCTCACCCCTGCTTCCGCCTGCTCCGCCCTGAAATACCGGAACTCACCCACCCGCCCGGATGTGACGCCACAGCTGCCGCGCCCTCCCACCGCCAGGCAGGCGGGAAGGCAGTCCAGTGGAGGGAGAGCCGCGGCTGGGAGCGAGGGGCGGAGCCTTCCAGTCGCCCTAGGCAACCGCTCCCGGCCTTACCTTGGGCCAGTAAAGGGGGGCGGGGTTGGGAAGAAGGAGGGCTACCATGGTAACTGGCAGGCGCGTCTTGGTCTAGCTTCTCCAGCCAGGCAGGCTACCCACAGTGGTTGGCCTGTGTACAAGTGTATTAACCTTACACTCACGCAGTTGACCCCGACTCCCCCAACGCCAGCCTCCCACCACTCACCCTTTAAGGCACTCTGTATCCTCTCCATGATATAAACATCCTACTAGCCTCTGTTTCCACACACCCCGAGATAGACTCCAAAAACAGGTTCCAAGAAAAGCCTAAAGGACTTTCTGGGTCTCATCTTCAAAAGAGCCCCACTTCAACCTACTTTCAGAGTGTGCTCAGGTAGGTTCTCTCCCATCTCCTGCAAGTCAATGAAGGGAACTACGGGGGTGGAAGATATGGGCAAATTGGCAAAGTTCTCATTCTATTTGGCATCAGTTATGAACTTAAGTGCTCCATTTAGAATACCAGTCTTTTCCCCTGTTATTTTTGAGAGTCGATATGCACCATCAATTAGCCAACCTGCCAGCCCCTCCAAACCTTGGAACGATTCAGGACTTGATATTTGATTTAATCATCACTTACAATTCCTTTTGTAGATGTGGAAGATATCTTATGCTCACCTTTTTATCAGGAAGGAATCTTCTATTACAGACCACTGTTACCAGATCCTTGTGCAACAGCAAGATATGAGTGCCTGAAAAACTGTGCTGTGGAATTGAGCCTCCATTCTGTATTATAACTTTCACCAATTTCAGTGTCATTTCTTCTTCCAGGTACTCCAAGGAACTGTTTATGAATTGGAAACTGCCCCTACAGGCCCTGCCATGCAGGATTTCCGGGAGCACAGTGGTAAAGAGACTTGAGAATTTTATCTTATTCTTTGTATTCGTCCCACCTTCCAAGTAAATAATAATGATAAATCTCTATTCTGGTACAGCTCTCTTTTCCCCTAGAAAATCTGAAGGTAGAACAGGACTTAGGGCCGGGCACAGTGGCTCACACCCGTAATCCTAGCACTCTGGGAGGCCAATGCAGGAGGATTGCTTGAGCTCAGGAGTTCTGAGCAAGAGTGCGACCCCGTCTCTACTAAAAATAGAAAAATTAGGCCCACACTTGTAATCCTAGCTCTCTGGGAGGCCGAGGCAGGTGGATTGTTTGAGCTCAGGAGTTTGAAACCAGCCTGAGCAAGAGCGAGACCCCGTCTCTACTAAAAATAGAAAGAAATTAATCGGCCAACTAAAAATAAATACATAGAAAAAATTAGCCGGGCATGGTGGCGATGGTGGCGCATGCCTGTAGTCCCAGCTACTCGGGAGGCTGAGGCAGAAGGATCGCTTGAGCCCAGGAGTTTGAGGTTGCTGTGAGCTAGGATGACGCCACGGCACTCTAGCCCGGGCAACACAGTGAGACTCTATCTCAAAAAAAAAAGAAACCAAACAGGACTTAGAATTAAGAATCCTACAATCCTACCTCCTGAAAGAAATAGTAGGCAAGACAGTTACTGCCCTCTATGCCTGGTTCTAAGGACGCTCCCTCCAAAGGCTATGTCTTCTTATCTCTTTTTGGAAATACTGAACAATGAGACTATTCAGAAGAAAGAACTTGGACAGACAGTAATTTTCTCAGTAGAGTGATCTATATACTTTGATTTTTCCTCCAGGAATTGAGAAGGAAGAGCAGGGTTCTGACTCTCAATAAACTCTACCCAAATGGCCTATTTTTCCAGCTTGCTTTGGAGAAGTCTATCAGAGGGACTGTAGAAGCGGAAGTGAGAATTTGTCATCTGAGTGTTGATCAGCAGGGGGCACTATTGAACCTCCCTGTGCCCTAGTAAAGAAGCAGAAGACCTCATCCTAGACAAACCAAAAGGGTGCTGAGAGCACCACTGCATTCCTGATGTTGGTAAATTTGAACAGATAATCTCCTCTTGATCCAGGGAAACAGATGGGCTGACTCATGATAGCCTTTAGAAGCACGATGAATAGGCAGCAAGGGGCCCAGTGCTATTGTTTTCCTGGTGACCAACAATACAACAATATATCAACAGGTGTATATGTCCATCCCTGTCCCTTTCCTCATCCCTCCCACCACCTGTCATTAAAAATGGGTGTTGTGACTTTTTGTCCTAACCATTGCGCTCCTTTCCCCCTGTTTCTCCCTAAACAGCTTCTCTTTTATTATTATTATTATTATTTCCTGACCACTAGACAATGTGGGATCTCTAAACAGCTTCTGATTTCATCTTGGATTAAAACGATCTTAGGCATGGTTGCACAACCATGTGAATGTACTTACTGCCACTTAGCTGTACACTTAAAAATAGTTAAAATGGTAAATTTTATGTATGTATTTTTTTTTTACCACAACTTAAAAAAAAAAAGAACATTAGACAAACTCAGGGAAGAAAAAAACAAAGTTTGAACTGGTCTTGCCACACCCTTACCCTTTCTTTGTTTGAGCAGTCCTAGCAAAGTCCTACACTTTCCAGAAAGGCTTCTCTGATCACCAGAACTGCCTGTGTAAACATGCAGTTATTGACTGCCTCCTCCCTCTCTTCTCCTTATATCTACATCAAGGTAATACACTCTATTTACTTATTTATTAATCTTAAGATCAGAAACGAAGCTGTTAACTTCCTTTGTATTGGACAGAGTACCCTCCCTCCAAAGATGCTATTATGCTGCTGATGACTCTGGCCCTTGCTGTCTTACTTAAACCTTGTTGCTCCTCCTTATCCAGCATTTCTCCCAATGCCTATAAACACTGGGCTTTCCTTCTTTGACCCTTCAAGGCAGGGATCGGTAAACTTTTCCTCTACAGGGCCAGGTAGTAAATATTTCCGGCTTTGCAGATCATAGGATCTCTGTGGCCACTACTCAGTTGTAAAGAGAAAGCCAGTAGACAATATGTAAATGAATGAGCATGACTACATTCCAATAAAACTGTATTTACAAAACCAGTTTGTTGCAGGATTTAACCCACAGGTGATAGTTTGCTGACCCTAGCTTTTCGGAAAGAACTCTTTCTTCTTGCTTCAATCTCAACCTGGCCTAACAGACTTTTGCCTCCTGGCCACAACTTTCCTGTTCTATTTCTTACTCTTATACAAGGTACTTACTGACATGTTGGGAAAGCTAACAAGGGGAAGAGGAGTTGAATGAGTATTTTTTTTTACCCACATTTACATATTTAAATAGTTTTTGGTGGTTTCCTGTATAAATATGAGGAAGCTTCTTTCAAGTGCATATACCAAGTAGACCATGTCTAGGTAGGATATGATGTGTGTGTGTGTGTGTGTGTGTGTGTGTGTGTGTGTGTGTAAAAACAGCTTAAGACAGAATTCATCCCCAGGAAATCTCTTTATCTTCCTGATATTGATGTATTATCTAGATCCTCTATGTCACTCTCCCTCCCCCAAGATCTCAGGTTAGACTTGTTTGTTATGTTTCTTGCTCCTGGAAACACCTCCTCAAGCCTACATACTAGCTGTTTAAGCCTAAGGACTTTCCCAGAGAGTTGTTAACCAACCCTCACAAAACTGTTATTAACTTGACATTATGCTAGCCTGTGAAAATGTCTATTGTCATGCCCATATGTTAGAACTAGAGAGATCCATCCAACTGTATCTGGACCTAAGCTAGGCAATTCCAGCAGGCCATCAAGCACTTGCCTAAAAATCTGGGAGTAACCTGTGTTTATTTTGCAGTTTTTCAAGAAGGGAGAATTAGCAGTTTACAGTGGCCTAAATTTTTAGAAACAATGAGTTTATATAATGTATATGATCCAGTTTATATTTCTAACTTCTGGCATTATATATTCAATGCTCACCACTTTCCTTGGCCACTGAAAGTAATGGAAAGCCAAAACAAGATCAGAAAACTAATGCTAGAGAGGCTGAATGTGAGGATCTGGAAGCATTTATGAATGGTTCACTCTGTTCTTCTAGCTATTTTCTAAAATCAAATGTAATTTTATTATTTTTTCATAATTCTTTTTTTTTTTTTAAGAGACAGGGTCTTGCTCTGTCACCCAGGCTCGAGTGCAATGGCATGTGGCACAATCATAGTTCACTGCAGCCTCGAACTTCTGGGCTCAAGCGATGTCCTGCCTCAGCCTCCCGAATAGCTGGGACTACAGGCATTGTATCACCATGCCCACATAATTTTTCTTACTTTTTTTAGACATGGGGGTCTCACTATTTTGCCCAGGCTGGTCTCAAATTCTCGGCCTCAAGTGATCCTCCTGCCCTGGCCTCCCAAAGTGCTGGGATTATAGGCATGAGCCGCAAATGCGATTTTAAATAATACATGTTCCTATTTTCCTATTAACTCAGTTTGCTGATAATTGACTGTATTTCCATCAATAGTGAGACATTCTTTCGTTGCTGCTGAGACTCCTATGGTACTTTTCTTCCAAAAAACTTTTCTATCTAGTCTCTCATTTATCTTTGTGGCAAACTTTGAGGTTGAAGATGAAGAAAAGTAGGTGATTATGGGATAATATGAAGTGGAAAAAGAGAATTGATCATTTTCAAATGGGAAAATTCAGCCCTAGAGAACCTGAGTAATTTACTCAAGGTCATAGAGTAAGGTCTGGTAGTGAAACTTTTACCCCCTAAGATTACTTTTTAGTTTCTATTATAGTCTATCACTCTAGGGACCTCTCTGCTGCAATATGAGCAATGCTTCCTATGGCATCTCTGTGGCTTAAGGGTAGATGCCCACATTGGCCAAGATAAATAAACCCATGTAGGGCCAGGGTCAACGTGACCTTTGTTTCCCATTGTGAAATCTGAGCTGGCTTTGTTGGGCAGTTGAGAGATGAGAGGTTCTCTATTAATACACATATCTACATGCCAAGCCTTGGACACAAAAACGAAGAATGTGGCATGGGGGAGGAAGTAGGATAAGTGATAGCAGTCTGGACTCAGAGTCCCCTCCTCTTGTCCAGATCCTAGGAAAGATAATAAATTCCTGGGCAGGACGAAAATGAGACTTCTACATGTCTTTAAGAAAGAAAATATATGCCATTATGAAGATATACCAGCATGTGTTTATATGCAAAAATGTGTGTAGGTATATATGTCTATCTTCTGTGAACTTATGGGTATGTTAAAAATGTGTTTGGAATTTAGTCATATATTAACATAAAGATCTGTATGTGTAGATTAAATTCATCCCTCATCTCTCTAATACTCACATCAGCTGCCTTCTTCTCTGCCAGCTCCAGCTTCTCCTGGGCATCCTTCAAAGCTTCAGAATACTTGTCCAGCTCATCCTCTGTTCCTTTCAGCTTCTTCTGCATGGCTGCCAGTTCATCCTCCAGCTATAGGGGCCCAGAGAGTCACACACAAAGACATTCATACACAATAATGCAGGCTTGGACCCTGGGCTTTTGGACCCCTGAGCCCAGCCTCCATGTTACCATCCCCAGAGAGACACACTTTCTCCCCAGCCACTTCCAGCCCACCGCCTCAGGAGTTATGCTATAGCTTGGCTTATGACCCTATAATCTCTGACCCTAAGATGACCAAGCCACCCTTGGTTTTCATCCAAGATCCTTGGATGGGAACTGTCTAAGGGTGTACATGCCTGTGATGCTATTTAAGAGAAAAGAGATGGTGCATGCTAAACTCTTACCTTTTCCTCTAGAAGTCAGGGGTTCTTCCAAAACATGGTCCAGTTCTACTTAAATTCAGCAGAAACACTGTGGTTCAGAAGGGGCCACTGACTTTCCCAAGGTCACACAGGCAGTCTGAGGCAGATACCCTAGATGTCCTCTGCCCCTCCGGTGGGGCTGGGGAATACCTCCTACTCAAAGAGGGAGCTACTTTCCCCATAAAAACTTGCTACCATCTTATAGTATAGTCTTGTTCACCAGCAGGTGAGAGAGACCAATGCCAGTGCCTACCTGTTTACTTCTTTCTTCTGCTTGCTTTTGCTCAGCTTCAGCTTGCTCTGCCCGATCCAGAGCATTTTCCTTGTCCAACTTCAGCATCTGCATCTTTTTCTTGATGGCCTC